TATACTTTTATAAATTAATTGGCATAAATATTTTGGCAGGCTTGTACATATATGATCGTATAAGGAGGACAGTTCTCATGGTGCTAATTGCCATTGAGTTGCTAAGCAGCAATATATTATAATTGGCATAGGGAAAACAGCTCACTTTACTATCTGTATTTAAAGCTGATTGAACGATATTCTAATTATTTATAAAAGTTAATAAAGGATTTATCTATCAAAGGAATTCTTAAAAAGCCCTAATCTTTGGACACAAAGTCTTTTGATAAAGGATTATATGTCAAACCTTACATCTTTCCCTCAAACTCTTCTTTATTATTAAATTTGATCTTAACAATCATATTATAATATCTGGCAATAATCATATCATAACAATATATACAAATCAAATAAAGAAATGATATTTACCTATAAAAAAAAAAATAATAATAATATCTTTAAAATTTCAATATTATTTAATATATATTTATATAAATTCAAATTGTATTATTAAAATTCAAATTTATATCTTTTTTATTTAATATCTATTATATTTATAAAAATTATATTAATTATACAAATTACTTTTTCAATATTAATAATATAATTTTTTATAAATAAGCTTAACTATTTTAAATTACTTTTGATATAAAATTACTTATATAATATAAGTTGATATTAATAATTTATTTGTAATAGATTATAATTAATCTGTATTTTTATCAATAAATAAGATTATTAATATATTAATTGTAAGTAATTTGTTTAATAAAAATTGTATATTTGTAATAAAATAATAATAATAGTAAATTTTAACCAAAAGTATATATGATTTTATAAATATTTGTTTAAAAAAAATTATTATTTTAGTTTATTACTATTTCTGTATTATATAGCAAAAATATATACAAGTAATAGATATTTAAAATATTTTTTTAATATAATTGATTAATTAATTTTTTATTTTAATTATAGAAATTATCTTTAAGAAAATTAAAAAAAAAATCTTTTTAAAATTTTCAATATCATTTTGTTTATTACAATCAAAATTGATATATAAACTTATTTGATTCAACTTATTTATCAATAACATTAAGTCTTTAAATATAATTTATAGAAACAACTTTCACTAGTAAAATTATTTTTCAAAAAGTTAATAAAAAATTTAAATCATGTTAAACAAATTCTTTTATAAAATAAAAAAACATTATTATTAAAAAAGTAAAAACTTTATAAAAATATCATAAAGTGTTATCTCTGTAGAGATGATCTGCAGGCTTTGACTCTATTAAACAAATGGGATCTTAATCCCAATTAATGGATGAGCAATATATCATCCCCATAAATCACATTTAGAGACTCTTTGTCACAGACAGGTAAACTGGGTCGGGGAAATTTATACATATAATTTATATTTGTAATGGTTCATTTTGATTTAATAAATAAACGACACCAACCTGATTGAGGGAAAAATATATATATATATATATATCATAAAGTGTTATCAGTAAAAGATAACTTTATTTTTGAAAAACGACTGTATTTTAATGCCAAATGATCTTTTTATTTATTGTGTTGTTTTTAAGAAAAAAAATACAAGGATTTTATTCTTTCATACATTTGAATAAAGTAAATTAACCGGAGAAATAATATAACAAGCATTCTCCTTTCATTCTCCCTTAATCAAATGCTCAAGATTCTTTTATTCATTGTTGTGTGGTCTGTTGTGACTGTTGTGGGGCTTGTGTGGTTTGTGGTTGTAGCGTCGGTTGTTGTGACTGAGGAGGGGGTTGCGGTGATTGTTGTCCGACTTGTTGATGTTGTTGAGAAATCTGTTGTTGATTTTGGTGTGATGATGTTTGGGCACCTTGTAATATATGTGCACGTTGCGCCTGCTGAATTCGAACGTTGTTATAAAAATTCATTGATTGTTGGGTCATTGCGGAAGTAATTTGCTGGGTGGAATGACGCTGAACTGCAATAGTATTCACTTGTCGCTGCTGTTGTTGCATCACATATGCTTGAAGTTGATTTTGCGTGGTGATCGGTGGTCTACCACCATAAGGTAATCCTGTGGGTGCCTGAGGTCGCATATTAGATTGGTGGATTAGTATAATGAACAAAGATAAATACCAAACATCCTTTTTCAGAATAATATGATATTCATTTAAAGTGGCTAGCTTTTACCCTAACATGTGACTGAAAGGCAAGGGCTGCAACCTGACGTTGCTCCAATAAATGCGCTTGGTACCGACGTTCGTTCTCTGATTTCAATTTACTCAGTTCAATTGGACCAGGCACTTGATGAACAACTTGACCAGGTTGGTCGTTGTTTCTTCTAGTTTGTGCTGTATTCAAAAAGAGGTCAGGACAAATGATACACCAAATAAAGTAAATCAAGTGTTAACCTCACATTGTTTCAAAAGCATGTCCTGGCGTTTCTTTGCAGATTTCTTCATTACATCGAGCAAACTTGAATTCCGACGTACTCTTGGAATGTCAGGTTTTGGAATTTTCTTTGGCATTATATCTCTCTTTGGTCTTACATTTATTAATGTAGATGGACCACCAGCTATTGATGATGATGGTGCATCAATTGCGCCATCACTCACCAGAATTTCACTCGAACCTTCGTTTGAAGTTTCGTTCTCATGAATAACAAATCGAGATAAATTGTCCTTTTGAGCCCATCTCTGATAGCAAGCCCATGGCGTTCTTGGGAAACCAATTATACCACCACGAGTGGAATTCCATGAGTCAGCTACCAACTCCCAATTATATTGGAATCGTTTTGCCAATGTCATCAACAACTCATCATCTTCGGGATACCAAATGCATGGCGTTTCCGGATCCGGTCTTGGAGCCTTAACGTTAATCGGTAAATCTTGCGATGAAAACACTAATATAAGGAAGAATTATAAATTTATCTTTAGATTGCCGAGGTTACACGGACTCATCTATGGACAGCGATCATAACTCACGTGACGTAGTATCTTGTTCAGACTCTTTCTCATCCTCCTCTTCGATTTTAACTTTCTTTGAACTTTGTGAATCTCCACTCATCGATCTTTTCCTGACATTTTTATCTATCAAATTCAGATAATAAAAATTATTTTTAACGATCACGTGAACATTTCAGGTATAAACAACTAAATTCAATCGCTTACCACTCCTTGGACGACGATACATGCGCTTTGAAATGGGCATTATGCGAGAGTAATGAATATAGTCGATATATAAGTCTTTTTCAGATGGACGTAATGGTTCGTAGGTGGGCAAATCCGGAAATATTGAATCTACATCATAAACCTGACCATCCGGTCCTTCCAAGCAACACAAAAATGCGTCGGCTGATAGGGAGGTAACTTTTTGTCGTAGATTTTGTAAAACGTTAGGGGCTATTGGGGGTGGCATTATAATGGCATCATTGTCCTTTGTTTGATCAATGTTATTGGTTGTCGACGCCTCATCATCCACTGACTCGACGTCAATCATCACTTCATCCGAAGATGATGACCACTTGACTTGGTTTGTTGGAAGGTCATTCAGATCGCGTGCATCATCAACGGGTTCTGGTTTGACCTCGTCATTGGCTGTGATATTGGATCCAATTAATTAGTAACACGCATGAGCAAAGGAGTGATTGATGAAGAAAAAAAAGCTTTTTGGGGGTTTCGCGTCACTTAAAGTTTAAATACCATCAGATGACGCCTCTTGAGTACTTTCGCGCTCATCAACATTCCGCTTTGATGGAATTTTATGAGGAATACGAACCTTAATTAAAAATTAAGACAGATGATGAGTTTTTATAATCAACATTAGACTCGAATAGACAAAGCATACATACTTTGACGCACAATGCATCTCTTCTTTCTTTGTCATCTTTGCTCTCATGCCAATCCATTACCCAACGTGACATGTGAAATGCGGCGGCTATCTTCCATTTTCGCTCTTTCTTAAAATCCTTTTGCATCCATACCTAGTCAAAACCATTATTTTTTAAATAAAAACAAGTCCCGATCTTAAGCCAATTTGACCAAAAATGGATGAATAAGATATCTCACCATTTCGTCGAGCAAATAATCGCGGTGGGTGTAAGGTCTTGGGGGATCTCTGAATGGTTCAATCTGCTGAAAACTCCAGAGTCCTTGATTCTTTAAATGATCGATGCGTTCCAAAACTCGTACCATTTTAACTTCTTCACGAGCAACCTTTACGAAATTTCACGCTTGGTAAGTTCACTTATATCAAATTAACGAGATACACCAAAAAAATTGAATTTTTTTTTTGCAAAATATTTTTTATACCGTCCAATCTTCTGTTGTCAGAGCTTTTTTGGGATTTTGAAACAACTTGTAGATAGGTTGATTGTTATAGTTTGAAATAAGTGATTCCCGATCGATTGTTCGAGTTTGTGCGTGTTCGAAGCTCCTTCCCATTGTGATATTCGCCGTTTGTCTCCCCTCACCATTTCTTGACATGACAGAAGCAGCCCTTTGCTGTGGTTGCTTCTTTGGCTGCAAATTTAGTTTTACTGGGGTCGGAGGCGCTGAAAGTGCGGAAGAAGAAGCAAAACCGCCCAGTCTCTGCCGTAATGGACAAGAAAAAAAAGGAGGGTGGTGGTGGTGGTGATACGTTTTATAGAATACGAATAGTTTTTCGGGAAAAGAGTTGTAGGCATACCTCCGCGTCTTTGAGAATTTCGTCCACACTTTTCGGGTTTATTGCACCGCTTGCCGCACGAGTCACCATTCTTTCTACCGGAGGAAGTGATACTCTTTTTTGTTTCTTCGGTTGTGTGGTTTGGTCAACAGGGGTTTGATTGTTACTTATTGGTAGAGTACTTTGCGAATGTTCCGGGGTATTTGGGATTGCAGCATTTGGATTGACAATTATGGAGCTGTTGGATTTGGTGCTACGGTTTCGAGTAAATGCAAATTAATTGAATTTATATATGCGTTAGGTTTCGAATCGAACGCATAAATTTCGTGAAAACCAAGCCACCAAAAAAATTTTCCCACTATTGTCATACAAGAAATAGCCAATAAAAAATCCACCTTTTTTCGGGATCCATTATTTTCTCGAGGTCCAATTTGTGACTTTGCAAGAAATCTCGTAATTTCGCTTGATCCACCTTCTCGCTGACGTTGTCGATTATTTCAGTATAAGTCTCTACGCTATCCGATTTACTTAACATATAATTCATGTAGAACAAGTGCTTTAGCACGGAATCGCGCGTGGCAAGTATCTTTCTGGAGAAGTGCGTGATTTATGACAAGACGCGGTTAATTATTAATGAATTTTGAAACAATAAGTTATTATCATATTTTTCTTTACGCGAATAATTATGAAATTTACTTTAATTCTTGGTTTCTGAGCTCTACGACCTTATTGCGAAGCTCCTGTATATCTGACTATGGTAAATGTATAAGAATGTGTAAGAAGAATAAAGAGGTGAGAATCAAGAGAATAATATTGCTGCGTGTCACGTGACAGAGAACTTAATAATAAAAAAAAACTATTTATGGCACAGTATATACAAAGGTATTTATACAAGAGTTGGAAGAAATAATAAAATACACAGGATGAGGACATCTGAGAACGATGAACAGAGTGGCATAAGCCAACTCAAAAGATTGTTAAAGTTTACATCGACCCAGTGACGGTAAGCATTTCAAACTTTTGAATCAAAGATCCAAAGTTGAAACCTACCGTTAAAGAGCCATCACCAGCAACATTAGTGTCCTTCCCCTTTGAAGAGAGTGTTGCATCTGTGTCCATAATAAATAAAACGCTAGTAAAGAGTAGGAGATTTAGAGGTGTGGCAACCCTCGTAGGTCATTACAAGAAATGACAGAAAGAGCTATTTTTCGGACAACCTCTTATGTCATTTGGTTGGTCAAATTGTTCGGAATCAACATCGGAACTATTGTAGATCGAGGTATAGGTCGACCGCCGACTTCTCATGTGACACGGTAAACAATATAAATATTGTCGCACATGATGCTCATCACGTATTGCAAGAAAAAAATGAGTAATGGAATTAAACCAAGTGTGGCAGCTCTTAATGCTCGTGAATTGATAGCACAAAAAGATAGGATAGAAAGTGAGATCAACGATTTCGAAGAAATTTTAAGAGGAGTTAGTTCAAACTTTTGCAGTTAATTTCCGCGAGATCTGCGTTGCTTTTTCACCTTTTGACACTCTTTGGTAAACAGCAAAAAGTAGGAATGCACGAGCCACTAATTGATAATTCAGGATATCCACGCGATGATATTGATTTGGTGGCAGTAAGGACGGCTCGTGCAAGAATAATTGGTATTTAATTTAGAACTCGGGTTCACCACACAATAGCATTCACATAAATAACCTTTATATTTCGTGAAATATCAGCGTTACGAAACGATCATAAAGAAATAATGAACAAAATAGAACGTGCTCTTCACGAAATTCATGCCGAAAATCAGGCGAATGGACGAACCGAAGAGAAAAATAATAGTTCTTCAGCAGAGACAGAATCTTGTACCTTACCACAATTTTCTTTTTTGATAATTTAATGGCGTGCGTTTTTAAAATATTCCTTTTTCTCGTGAACAAAAAAGCACGACAACCGAGGCCTTTTGCAATTGTAAACGCAATTGCACCTGATTCGCCAGCAAAAGAAGCGGTACTTTAAAATTTTTTTTCCTTCTATTAACGTTTATTTTTATTATTATTATTAAATAATTAACAAAAAATAGGGATTACTGAAAAACGATAAGATCATACGTTTCGGCTCAATTCATGCTGGTAATCATCAAAACTTACAAGCATTAACAATTCTGGTGTCCAACAGTGAAGGGGTTCGTTATATAATCCATCGATTTTACATGATTTATTGTTACCTAAAGCTAATGCAAAATTTGATGCACCATAGGAAACTTTGGATATTACCATTATACGAGGAGAATCCGAATCTGAGCAAACACTTGTGCTAAAATTGACACCTAGAAGAGGTTGGGGTGGGAGAGGACTACTGGGGTATGTACCGAATTATTTTATTTGAGAAATGCTGGTATAACGTTTATTTATAAATTATCCGATCACATTATTTAGGTGTCATATCTTACCGATCTAATATTTATTAAATAATTATCTTAACGCAGCACAATTATTAAATATCACTCGATCCTGAATTGTAGGAATGAATTAATTCACTGTATTATATTGTAAAAAGTAATTGTAAATGGAACAACCATTCTTCATTACGATTTATGAATGAACTGTTCTTTTATGGTACATTGAAAAAAATGAAATTTTGAAGCTACAGAAATTGATATGTTTATGTTATACATATTTGTAAACTAAATTGAAGGAATATGATAATTAACCATCTTGATTTCGTGTAACAATATCTTCATACGAGATAATATCCTTTCATTCGGCCACCAACCGTCAGATTCATCTTTCTACTCTATAACAACCATTCTCCACGTGTCGATTAATTGTTAACAGCAAACATCTTGTCGAGTATTCGTTGATGCATTACGTGTTCTAAGTTGAAAGTTGTCAGGTTCTGGTTTCTTTATCCACAGATTTGGCGTCTCAATAATCTAGAAAACAAAATTTAAATATTATTAAAGTAATTATCAAAAAAAATGTATAAAGCTAATATATACAAACAAACCTTCTTGACCAGTTCTTCAAATGCTTCGTTTACTTGGAATCTGGTTTTTACACTACATTCAACAAACAAGGTTCCATTTGCTTGCGCGTAAATTTCTGCTTCTTTACGCGAAACTACCCTCGAGTTTTCCTTTAATTAAATTCGGGTTATGTATAACGTAAATAATTGACGTGTCGAGATCATTAGTTAAGCTACCTTATCAACTTTATTTCCCACTATCATCTTCACCACATTTTTATTCGAACAGTAAGTATTTAATTCGTTAAACCAATTGCCCAACTCGTTGAAAGTCTCTCGATTGCTCACATCATAAACTAGCGAAATATTACATTTTGTTATGTTTACTTGAAAATCTACGATAAAGAAAATTATTAATTGAAAACCATACCGAGAATCACTCCATGGGCACCGCGATAATATGTTGAAGTAAGAGTTCGGAATCTCTCTTGTCCTGCTGTATCCTGTATAAAATTTTCAATTTTCCATGTAAATTTCTAAAAGATCATTTAGAAAAAAGGATCATTTGAGAAACATACCCAAATTGTTAATTTATATTTCTTGTCATCAATTATCATATCCTGCACCTTAAAATCGACGCCTAAATTTTGTAAATCATAAAAAGAACTTTGAATTCTGAATCTAAGCCGCGTTTGAAAAGAAAAAAAAAAAAACTATTGCAAGTTTTCTTCACAATGAAAAGTCAACTTCCTCAATTTAAAAGAAATGATTTAATGGTTGACCAAGAATATTTTATCTGAAGAATGTACCTATTGTAGCCGAAACTTCGTCATGTGGCAAAAACGTGTCGTCAGTGAATCGTAACAGCAGGGAGGATTTCCCAACGTTAGAATTTCCAATGAGGAGAATTTTGAGCGTTGCGTAGTAATCGTCCTTCCTAGCTGCCATAACGTCGTGGTACTTAAAATGCGTCAGGAGTCAAAAGAAAAAGGAGGTTGATACATATGTAGAAAAAATATGGTTGATTTTAAAATATACGTGAGCATTTGACATTTGAGGCTATGCATTGTGAGTGCCTAAGAAATAACCGTATCGTACGCTTGGCAATGAAATTTCCGCCAATTATTCCATCCAAATTATATCTTAACGGCCCTGTAAATCTAGACTTTCTCTTGATAAAGGCTGTGCATGATTGAGTCTGACGACGAGTTAATTATCCGATCTGTATGAAAAATGGTAATGTTAAGAATTCTTGTATAAAAAAAAACCCCTTTCTCTGTAAATTTGAAATTTAGATACAAAATAGTTTATATGCAATTTATCAAAAAAGTTTAACCCAATTTTTAAAATTCTAATTCAAAATAAAATTATCGCTTTATTAATTTAAATTTTGAGATAAATAGAAAAATTATGAAAAATTATGATATACTGTAAATAATATTATTTAAAAATTTAAATATACTGTAATATAAAATATAAAATAAATAATAAATAATATGTATCATATATAATTTATTTAAAACTAAATTTAAATATATTTTTTAAATCATTTATAGCATAATCAAAATATATTTTTATATATTGAAACTTTTTTTGGGATTTATAGTCATTTTTAAAATTATTGAAATGATTAGCAAAAGGCAACTCAAATCACGAGAAAATTATAAAATCATATATCGGTATATATAAAAAAGTTTGTTTGTTTACTTGTTTATATTAGTTTCAAAGTTTACTTGATCTTTATGTATATTTTATATACAATTTCTAAAGAAAATATTGACTTTTGTTAAAAAGAGATTTTGCAATTACAATAAGATTACAGATATTTACTTGTATATTGATTTTATTAAAAAAATAGTTTAAAGTCTTAATAAGAATTTGTATTAAAGATTAATATACTTTCATTATAATAGATTTTCTAAGAAAAAATTAACTTCTATTTATATATTAATTGCAATACAGTAAACAAGATTTTATATCTATATTAATATTGGAATTATATTAAGAATTCTTATAAAAAAATACAAAAATACTTTTCAATATTAGTTGTATAGTTACTGTAGGCAAGCTAGCATTTAACTTATTGTATTAATATATAAAAAATGTTGTTTCTTTTATTATATATACCTTGCTATATATAAATCAAATAAAGAAATGATATTTATTTACAAAAAAACAAAAACAAAAAAGAACACAAGAGTATTAAAAAATATTTCATTATAATAATATAAATATAAAATAAAATTTTAACAAACCTAATTCCATGCAACCCCTATATACTAAAAAAACAAGCGATAGCAGCATTCAAAATAATATCAGATTATAGGGGGAAAATTAAATTCCAAGAGGTCACAATACTGGATTGGGATATAGACCTAATCAAGAAAACAGTCAAGTCAGAAGATTATA